TGCGCCACGATCCCTGCATCCAGCAGCACCAGCTGTAGAGGCGGAGGAGTTGGTCTCATGCTGACCACCACAGTGTCGCACAGGTCTGTCAGAGTCGCCCTGTCCTGGGGTGCCTCTCCTTGCCCACCCTTCACCAGGATGTTCCCGGGATGCAGGTCACCGTGGACGAAATTATCCACAAACACCTGCCAGAGATGACCACAGGTTAGATCTCAATGAAACACATACAATTAATCTGACCGTTGTTTAAAGGAATAGTTCACCCAAAATGAAAAATTTGCTGAAAATGTATTCACCCTTAGGCCATCCGAGATGTAGATGTGTTCTTCATCGGAAAATATTTGGAGAAATTAACCATAACATCACTTGCTTACCAATGGATCCTCTGCAGTGAATGGGTGCCGTCAGAATGAGAGTCCAAAGAGCTGGATTTGTTTCTTACAAACATGCAGCTTTTCACTTCACAAGAAATTAACTGATGGACTGGATCATTGTGATGTTTTTATCAGCTGTTTGGACTCTCATTCTGACGGCACCCATTCACTGCAGAGCATCCATCGGTGAGCAAGTGATATAAAGCTAAATTTCTCCAAATCTGTTCCCATGAAGAAACAAACTCATCTACATCTCGGATGGCCTGAGGGTAAGTAAATTTTCAGCTAATTTTCATTTTTGGGTGAACTATTCCTTTAACTGGATGCAAATGCAATTGAGTTGTGTGAGATGGAAGTACCATCTATTTTGTCATAATGTTGACAATACATTGAAAATTCGTTTTTTATAAATTTGCAATGGACAGAGGACATCTTCTCAACAATGTTTGTCTGAACTAACAACAATCAGGTACAAAACAGTATGACATGTTAAATGGGCTGTACTTCAATCCCTCACAGCCTTGTTTTTATTTGCATCTACTCAAAACAGTCCCATGTATCTCATTACAAGATGATCTTCGTTCCTTGTTATTCCTTTACACGCTTGTTGCACTTACAACAGATAATAGTGACATTATTTCATCCAGGTTGACTTACCCTTTCCCTTTTAAAAGATCTGGGGCCGTCCGGGAAAACAGCTTCATTTGCTTCGTCTCATCGCGAGCACCTCTTTTTAACCCCAAAATGAGACATAATAAAACAAGTTAATGAGCAACACGTGCACTTACACAAACATGTTTAATCTACACCAGTGTAATTTTAGTATCATTTATATACTATTATAGTATTATATTTTGAATTAGCTTTCATTTTCGTAATTTCAGTTTTCTTTATTTTAAGTTTTAGTGCTGTTGTAAATGCTATTAGTTTTTTTTTTTTTACGATTTTGATTTAGCTTTCAATTTTTTATTTCAATTTTAGTTTTAGTACTTCAATTTAATTCTTATTTCAGTTAGTTACCAAGAAAACATTTCAAATTTTCATTTAAGTACGATAGCAGCCTGTCTGACTGAACATAGAAATAAAAGCATAACAGACATAACAAAAAAAGAAACAAAGCCTTCATGCTGGGGTGAAGCTTGAATGCATTAAGCTCAGATTTATGCTTGTACACATACTCCTATTGAACGTGTCGTACAGTAACAGACTCATAAAATATATTCAAATAGAAAACAGTTATTTTAAATAGAAATAATATAACAATTTTAATAATGATTACTGTATTTTTGATCAAATAAATGCAGCATTGCTGATCGTTTCTTTCAAAAAAACATTTAAAAAATCTCCCCGACCCCAAACACAAGTTAACTTAACTAAAATCTAAAAGTACTTCAGAGAAGAAACGTAAATGCTACCAAAGTGACAAATTCAGAGCTCAGAGATGAAATTAGACATGTGTCAGGAAATGTAGTATAAAGGCATACAGTGATTTGACAGTGATTTTTGGCATACATTGTCAAAGGCTAAAGGCTGTTTGGATGACAGGACTCATGCCGCCACTGGCACTTACGCACAGTCACGTTCCCACATGGCCGTTCACCTACCCATGACATGTACTCCTTCATCTGGTGCTGGTTGCTATGGCTGCCCGAGGCATGGCCCCTCCAGAAACACTCTTGGCAGAGTTGGTAATTATCACATTGTTGGCACCGGTAGCGGAATCCCATCATGCTCTGGCTGTGGCAGTAGGAGCACTCCACAGGATGGAAGACTAGAGAAGAGATAAGCAAAATCAAGTCAACACTACTAATTGAACGCTGTCACAATATTTGTCATTCATTTAGGTTCTGAATGGCTGAAGGAAGTACTAACATATCACTAAGCCATATGTATGGTTTGCTACAAAAATGAAATAAACATGCTTAAAACGCACCGTTCTCAACGTTTGCCAGCCGATGCATCAGCGGTAACCAAACCAGACACTGAGGAGGAGGATCCGACATGAATGTGTCAAGAAACACATTGAGCGAGACCTTTTTCTGAGGATGGACAGCAGTTAGTATACAAATGAGTCAATAAATACCATGTGTGTACAAGAGAAAGTTTGTTTTTTCTCAAGAAATTGTGAATTGCAAATGCTGTTGCTGTTCCTATGCATTTGAAACTGGGTGGTTGCTGGTTATTGCCAGGGTGTTGCTTATTATTTTCACCTGTTTTATTGTCTGCCCTGCAAAAAATGTACACTAACGTTTAAAAGTTTGTGGTCGGTAAGATATCTTAATGTTTTTTTATGCTCACTAAGGCTGCATTTGTTTAATCAGAAATATAGTAAAAACAGTAATAGTGTGAAATATTATTATAATTTAAAATAACTGTTTTCTATGTGAATATATTTTAAAATGTAATTTATTCCTGTGATTTAAAGCTGAATTTTCAGCATCATTACTCCAGTCTTCAGAGTCACATGATCCTTCAGAAATCATTCTAATATGCTGATTTGCTGCTCAAGAAACATTTTTTATTATCAGTGTTGAAGACGGTTGCACTGCTTCATATTTTTGTGCAAAACTTTTTTCTTTCATGAATAAAGAGTTCACATAAACAGAATCACTTTTAACATTATAAATGTCTTTACTGTCACTTTTGATCAATTTAATGTGTCCTTGTTGAATAAAAGTATTAATTTATTTAAAAAAATAATAATAATAATCATACTGACCCCAAACATTTGAACAGTTGTGTCTGATAGCTTTATGCATGAAATTATTTAAAAAAAATAATCACAAACCTCTTGTGGAAAGCAGGTTCTTGTGGACTGCTCAGTGTACCCAAAAGATGGTCCCTCAAAAACCGTCATGGGCAGTTTCAGCACCTCCCTTAGGAACTGGTCAAACTGTGAGTATATCATCACTCCGTTTGGGTCCGATATCTGTGAAAATACATCTTGTGGAACAAAAAGATGAGCATCAGGAGTGATCAGTTTCATTTTTAAAAAAAAACTATGTTAAATTAGATCCAGGTAGATTTTAATAACTTAATAATAAACGCATTTTGCAGGCAGGAAGAATGATTTCTGAAGGATTATGTGACACTGAAGACTGGATTAATGATGCTGAAAATTCAGCTTTGCATCACAAGAATAAATTACATTTGACAAAATATTAAAATAGAAAAAAGTTTTTTTTAATTGTAATAATATTTCACAATAAAACTGTTTGTACTGTATTTTTGATCAAATAAATGCAGCCTTGGTGAGCATAAGAGGCTTCTTTCAAAAACATTTAAAAAATCTTCCCAACCCCAAATTTTTGAACAGTAGTGTAGTCTAAAGTTTTATTACTAGGAACGATTCACCAGAAAAGAGAGAAAAAGTTTTAGCTACACTGCCAAGGTCATAAAAGGCGAATATGCCTCGTGGTTAGAAGCGACTTTCAAGTAATGACGGCTGCTCTGACCTTTAAAATGATGATAGAATGAGTCCATTCACTTAAGCGCCCATTAATCAGCATCAAAGCATTGAACACACATCAGTTCAAAGGCAAATCCAAAGTGAAACTTACATCTTAGTTTATCCAAAATCTTCCCTCCACAGAGGGCAGCCAGAGCCATCTTCACCACAAAAACCGACATCTTTCCCACACCTTCCCTAAAAAAGACATAATCGTCAACTCACACATTTAAACAGTCAGCAGTTTAAGTGAAGATTATGAAGAGTCCTCATGTACAGGAAGTGAAGCTTCAGATGAACTTTTTTCTTTCTACTCTTAAAGAAATGTCATACTATATGCCATACATTAAGACAGATTTAAGGCAGCTCTGCAGGGTTTCTTACGGATCGTAGGCCGCTAACAGGAAGTTGAGGAGGTACGAGATGGACTGGTCTACATTGATCTGGTGGGTTGTGGGCAAGCGCTTGTTCAGCTGGTAATAGATGGTGGACAGTATTGCTTGCAAATGTGACACTGAGAACTCTGTGTTGAGGTCCATGGAGCTGAGTCTGTTTTCCCGGAAAACCTCGATAATATTCCAGATATCCAACATATGCACTGCGAGAAGTGAAGAACAAATGGCAACATCATTTCCAAAGACTTGGTTGTATTCAAAACAATGGACATTCAGAACGTTTGTGTGAGAAACACTTGCTAATGTTAACATAATGTACTTTTTTTTTTTGCAGTAAACTCCCTCATACTTACAATTGCACCTCTTCTGAATGAATCTCAGTTTGCATGCTGTCCTATACGTGGACAATCTGATAGAGTCCAGATCTAGTGCACCTGTGAGATGAAAACATCACATCTAATGAAAGTACAGTACATGTCCAAACATGCAGCTTAAATATAGCCTGAGGCATTTTAGCTGGTGTTTAGGTGGCCAGTGGTCAAAAGCCCAAAACCTCTCTAAAACCAGCAAAACAGACTAGACTAAACAGCTTGGCTAGGTTGAAAGACCAGCTAACCACCTTAGGCTGGTTGAAGATGTTTTTCTCAACAGGGAAATCCATTCAGAGAAATGTTAGCATGACTACCATTCAAAAAGTTGGGGGTCAGTAAGATTTTTGTAATGTTTTTCAAAGAAGTCTCTTTTGCTCATCAAGGCTGCATTTATTTGAGCAAAAATACAGTAAAAATAGCAATACTGTGAAATATTATTACAATTTAAAATAGCTGTTTTCCATTTGAATATATTCCTAAATGTATTTTATTTCTGTGATGCAAAGCTGAATTTTCAGCATCATTACTCCAGTCTTCAGTGTCACATGATCCTTCAGAAATCATTCTAATATGCTGATTTGCTGCTCAAGAAACATTTCTGATTATTATCAGTGTTGAAAATAGTTGTTCTGCTTAATTTGGTGGAAACCATGATGCATTTCTTCAGGATTGTTTGATGAGCAGCATTTATTTGAAATAGAGATCTTCTGTAACCAATGTTGGGGGTAACGCATTACAAGTAATGCGAGTTACGTAATCAGATAACTTTTTTCAAGTAACTAGTAAAGTAACGCATTACTTTTTAATTTATAAGAGAATATCTGAGTTACTTTTTCAAATAAGTAACGCAAGTAACTTTTTTTTCCAATTTATTGATTGACAGCTTTCCTGTCCCCCATGTTGAGAGAAATCAGAAGATGTTACTGTAGTTCTAAAATAAATATCAATATGCATTAATTCATCTCGCTCACAAAAACAAAACAAAAAGCAGATTCAGTATTCCTCAAAAATGAATAAAAATAATGCAACTCAGAATATGACGCAAACCTGTAACAATTAAATGTTAAACAACACTGAAGTGTGTTGAAATTTCTACTTCTGCATTCTACTGTACGGACGTACATTTACTTTCCCTTCAGCCTGAGGCTTATTCATTTCACTTTTGGTGTGAAAAGGCTTTTATATTTGCCAAAAATAGAACTTTTTTTATTTTAAAAACAAACAAGCAAGAACTGTCCAGATTTAAAAAGTAACGCAAAAGTAACGTAATGCATTACTTTCCATAAAAAGTAACTAAGTAACGTAATTAGTTACTTTTTTATGGAGTAACGCAATATTGTAATGCATTACTTTTAAAAGTAACTTTCCCCAACACTGTACTGTAACACAATGAATGTCTTTATCTATCACTTTTGATCAATTTAATGCATCCTTGCTGAATCAAAATGTACTAATTTCTTTAAACTTATCAACATGTTTACCATCATATCATAGCTTGAGTATGGAGTAAAACAGAGAAATACATACGCATTTCAGCAAACAGTTGTCTTCTGTCTGCCATTGCGCTGCTGTTGCGGCCTGACTCTTCAATCATTCTGCGAAACATCACACACACAGAAAACAAAAGGACAGTGTGACAGGCGTCCCACAGCTGTGAAGGCAAACTGGAGACTTTTTGAGGAATCAGTCTTCAGATTTGCATAAAGTTAATTAACTATTATTGTGGATAAAACAACATCTATAATGTATTACATAATTCTCCAAAGTTTTGAGCCGTTTATCCATCAAAACTCCACTGCAAATTTTATAAAAGTGATAAAAAAAATGCAGTTCTCAAAATAAAACTAAAAATACACACCAAAATGCACAAACTATCCATGCTGCATCTGCCTAATTTGGTTTGCATCTATCAAAAGACAGATACATTTGCAACAAAATAGTGAGTTTGATTGGACACACAACCATTGATGTCAACAACAAAAGATATGGGAAGCATTTTCTCCTCCCTTTTAAAAGTTGATGAGACTATTTACTTTGCTATCCTAAATATACACAATTATATTGTTAGTTGCATTTCATTATTTGTACTGTATTTAGCATTGTGTGTTTCCCAGCTGTTTGCAAACCTACCAGAACAGACCTGTGACCCACCTCTGTATTAATATAAAAAGACAAGTTCATTGGTGTAATTCATGTGTTTATCTCCCATTCTTCTTCCACAGAGACCTTTTGTTAGGATTCACATTACAGACAGTAACAGAGGTTTTGGACTCCACTTGTGACCTTGATTAAAAATAACATTTAGAAGATCACTGCCTTGTGGCATTCAGTATAATACTGTCTCATTTTACTGAGGAAACAGCTGTATCATCTAGTACAACAAATATACAGAGCTAAAATAATTTATACAACAATTCAATTCTCGAATCTGAAAGTCTTGATTTTGAAATTGTACAACGTTTTTGGACATGGTACAATGGAAATTCCTTGACATACTTTGGAATAGTTCATGTAAATATGTACATGATAAATAGGGCAATCATTCAGTATGATGGTATATATAAAAAGCATCATACACTGAAAAAAAAATTGGTATAGAAACAATTTTACTCAGAAATTTATAGTAAATTTCACAAATAATTACAAAGAACACGTCAAATTTTGAAGTAGACTGAAATAGTATTTTTTGTTAAATGTATTCCAATAATCTTTGGGGTTGGTATTTTTAATGTTTGCAAAAGAAGTCTCTTATGCTCAGCAAGATGCTTATTTGATCAAAGAAAATACAGTAAAACAGTAATATTGTGAATTATAAATATATAATTTTTGTATTTTCCTTCATAAATCATTCTAATATGCTGATTTGGTGCTCAAGAATCATGCAGCTTAATATTTTTGTGGAAAATGTTTTTTGTGTGGAAGAGAATTTTTTTTGTGCAAGATTCTATATTGAATATAAACATTATGAATTTCTTTACTGTCACTTTTTATCAATTTAATCCATCCTTGCTGAATAAAAGTATGAATTTCTTTTAAAAAATCCTGTCAACCCTGAACATTTGAATGGTAGTGTATATACTGTATTTATAGCCACAATAATTTTTTGTAAGGTGAAAAGTCGTATATGCAACCAATGTCTTAGTAAATAGATTTTTACTATCATAAACTTAAATGACATGCACTAACAATGATTGCATTTTATGAAAACTCACAAAAATTGCTTTTAAATTGCTCTGAGGAAACTTTAAAATAATGTTTTTTATTCCTCTTCAAAACAGCACCTGGATTTAAACCGTAAGAGAAACATGAAGTTGATCTACTAGAGAAGTTAAACTCCCTTCTTCACAAAGCTTTGAATGCTCAATTAACTTTAAGGAATGTTCAATCACAATCCTAGAGATCCAAGAGTTCAGCACAACACGGGGACAAAGCGCTACACATCCAGCCATCGATATCAAATTCACCTGCGGATGTGAAAAATATCCAGAATGCACTGCAAAAAATGAATCCATCAGTAACGTGACACTAATCTACCCTATTGAACTCACATCAGAGATAAACAAGCTGCCACAGCGTAATTAAACGTAATTTAGTGTTTTGGTTCACTGTTTCAACACCGCATCTATCATGTTAAACCAAATGGAAGAGATCTAAACAAACTAATGCTATAAAAAGAACCAAACTATCACAAAAAAATCGAAGGAAAATCCAAAGCAGATACCCTTCGGAAAGCACCATGGTCCTCTTCTCGCTTAGTTATGAGCGACCACAACAAGTCCACAACTTTTAATAATGCTTTTCGTCAGGTCGAAACACAACAAAAGCGGCCCATAGAGTTCTTGGCAGCCGACTGAAATAAGAACCCGTCAGGATCCAGCATGTGTCGCCTCTATCTTTAACTTCCAATGAGCGAGACTCACATTCTTGTTGGGCTTAGACGGCTGATTCAGATCTGGTTGCAAGTTTGTGCCGTCTCCTAACCCTAGGCCTGGTCTGTCTCCTAACCCTAGGCCTGGTGCTGCCTTGTTTGCAGTTTAAAGACTCTCTGTGTGAAATTATTAGGCAAAATGATGAGGCTACGCAAGAATGGCTCGCTAGAGAGGACTGTAATTCAAGCCCTCTAATGGGACATTTCTAGAGAGATCCCATATTTCACAGAGTCGGTCTTCTAATCTTTTTCTCTCTCTCTTTCTCCTTTTATTGTGGCTCTGGGATCTCCGAGCCTATAAATATCCTTTTGGACAGTCAGTGGCATCCAGGCATTTTAAGCCCGACTACATTTTTTGTCTCTCTGTGGGTGATTTATTTAGTAGGGCAGGTTGAATGAAAAACATGAAAATGTGTTTTATGATTTGGCTCGTGCTTGAAGGCGATTGGCATATAAGGCGTACAGATCTGACCTCGAGGACAAAGTCATGTTCTACATAAAGCAGCTGTTCAGAGTATCTTCACCAAGTAATTAGCGCTGGATTACTCGCATTAAACCGTCTGTGGGAGTAACTGATAGCAGATAATGCTACTGCATTTTTACAGAACCACATAATGCATCTATTTGAGAAACGCCATTGCTAGATAACAGACAAAGCTGACATTAATACAGGCTAAAATTGAATATGTGAATTCTTATATTGTTCTGTATTTTGCTTTGTATATACATTATCAATTAAACTATTATACTTATACTAATACATATACGCATATGGTTTCACAGGTAAATCCCATTTTAGCCATTATTTATGCATTAATAAAATATGCAGTTTATGGAAATATCAATCAATTTCAATGTCTGAATGAAAAGAGATTTTGTTTACTTTTGCACATTTAGTCCTGTCTTGGGTTGCTGTGAAAGCTGTGTGAATTGGATTCCATGAGAACTCTATCTGCAGCAAAGTGAACCATTACTCAACCTAACTGCTTTTTCCACCAATCAGACACAGTAACTGCCTGTATGCTGCACTGATTGTCATGGTACCACCATGAAGCAGCACAGAACTCTGGGTAAAGTCTCCCAGCCCATTCAGACTGTGATTTACATGTACATGTTTACAGGAAAGTCTTTCTAAGGTCATCTTCTCATTCGTCTCCATTTGTTTTATGCATCTAATTAGATGAATTAATATAATGATGCACTTCAAAAACAACATGCAGTCTAGTTTCATAACATTATATGGCATAGCAAAGAAATAACTTTTATGAACACAGATTGACTTTCTGTGCATGCAGAACCTACTATAACCTATATTCCAAATGTATTACTATTCAAATTTCACTTAAAGTGCAGAAAATACAAATCAAATGTCAACACTGTTTATGTTTACAATATAAAGTCCGTTTGTAAGATAGGTATTCGTTGAAATTTTATGAGATGAAACAGTAAACCAACATACACCGCATATAAAATACTCAATCAAATGCATGCAATTATATAAATATATAATGCATGCATAAATAAGCAGAATTTATAGGTACTTATTTAACCAAAATCACTATATTTAATATAATATTTCATAGTTTTGGCATTGCAGCAGATGATTTAGGACATAATGTTCCAGATACACACTATTATTAATATCATACTTGCAGAATCTGCCTCATGCCTGTTAGTAGTAGACTGTGGAGCGTTCACAATGAGGCGTCTGGAGCTCTGTGCACTTGCTACTCACCAAACGCCTGTCATCGCCGAAACGGGTTTCAATTCAGCTCCTCTGCGTTCACTGTAGCCCATCTGCGCTAAAACGACGCGCTTTATCGACGATAATCTCGGCGTTTGAATACAAAAGTCTGTTTTCGTTCGCATTAGACTCGCAGAGAGCGGCGCGGAGCTCTGCTGCTCATTTGCTTTGATGTGACGTAATGCGCCTCTCGCGATGACGTAATGCGGAATCTCTCCGCTGAACACATCCATCGGTGCTCTGCGGAAATATTAATAAATATTAGTAAAGTTAAATTTTTTTTGCATTATATTTTATACATTTTAAGTAAAATTTGATGTGGCAAAATGTTATGAGCAAATAATTTGTGGGACAAATATATTATAAATATGAAAAATACTAAAAATAAAATATCACAACAACGAAAATGTGCTCTTATTTAATTACATTTATTTTGTGCATATATATTTATAAAGTAAAAATGCTATGTTATATATGTGTTTATATATAGCAGTATTGAAGCAGTGTTTTTTTTTTCACTGTGGCGCAATGGTCCTAAAACTTTTCATTACCCATACCCGGAATATACTTAATACGTGATTGTATTCACCATTCAACATCAAAACCTTCGCAACCCTGAAAGGCTTTTTTCACTTTCTCAGTTTTGTCTATTGTGTCAGTGGTGAATGAAGGCCTTCCTGTTGCCTAGTAACCGCGCGCGCACTGTGAAAGCGGGGGGGGGGGGGACAAAGTATGAAATGGGCCGCGATGTGACACAGTGGCGAGATATGTGTCAACATTTATCATATCGCGCTTGATGGGTCAAAAATAAAATAAATGTCGTCAATGGCTCAACGTTCAGCGCTTTAGCAGCGAATGATGTAAGTAGTCAAACCTGTTATGTTGCTGTAGTCAGCTGATACATGCGACTATTAACCTTGTTTAACCTGCGTTCATTACTAATTAACTTAAGATAACTGTTTATTTTGTGCAGACGGTAGTTAAACAGCTGTTTTGATTAATGTCAATGTATGATCGTTCTATATAAAGCCAATGTCGACCACATAAAAATCTTTTAAAAAATAACAAAAACTTTTTTTTTAAAAATCACAGTACCATAGTAATGCTTTTTGATATCATCAAGCTTAGAGAAGCATTGGTTTTAATAGTATGTGATCAGTGGTTGTTGATTGATACATTCAGTCATTGATTTTGATTTTCATAGATGTTTTTTGAGAGATGCCTAACATAAAGTTACTCAAGTTTCCTTCAAGTAAAGGAGCATTCTTACAAGGTAAAGTGCAGTATTGTTTAACAATATTATTTGCTAAGCACGGAGTATATAGGGATCAGGATCCTTGATATATTTTCCCAAACCATTGTGCATATTAATAGTTACAATGAACTCAACAAAGTTGAGTTCAACAATAAACAATAAAGCATCCTAAAAGACAACAAGAAATCAGAACTGTCTATTTACTGTATTAATGCATGTTTTTGGTCTTATTTTGATCATTTAATCCGTGCACATTATTCTAAACAAAAAAATAATAATTGTCTTCACAATTTTCTATCATTCTTCACTTGGATAAAAAGCCCACCCTTTTCTATTCTGTATGTTGTTTCACTCTAAAATATGTCAGAATGTGGAAGTAAAATGGGTTGTGCATGCCATTTTATGTTGATCTTTAAAGGAATAGTTCACCCAAAAATGAAAATTTGCTGAAAATGTACTCACCCTCAGGCCATCCAAGGTGTAGATGAGTTTGTTTCCTCATGGGAACAGATTTTGAGCAATTTAGCATTACATCACTGTCTCAGCAATGGATCCTCTGCAGTGAATGGGTGCCGTCAGAATGAGAGTCCAAACAGCTGATAAAAACATCACAATAATCCACAAGTAATCTACACCACTCCAGTCCATCAATAAATGTCTTGTGAGGTAAAAACTGCCAAAATACAAATCCATAATCCATAACAACACTTCCTCCAGTGAAATAGTCCATCCCTTGTTGTCTTCTTTTTGCTTGTAAACAGTGCTTGATCTGTGCATATTTCTCTCCTGATTCAGACGAGACTGCTTTCACTGGGGAAAGCAATATTATGAATAGAGGACTCTTTTGAAGTTGAAAACATCTTAATGATGGATTTGTTTCTTACAAACATGCAGCTTTTGGCTTCACAAGACATTAACTGATGGACTGGAGTGGTGTGGATTACTTGTGGATTATTGTGATGTTTTTATCAGCTGTTTGGACTCATTCTGATGGCACCCATTCACTGCAGAGGATCCATTGGTGAACAAGAGATGTAATGCTAAATTTCTCAAAATCTGTTCCAATGTAGAAACAAATCAACTACATCTTGGGTGGCCTGAGGATGAGTAAATTTTAAGCAACTTTTAATTTTTTTGGGCGAACTATTCCTTTAAGGTTTCAGTATATATGATTCAATGTGAGATCTTCATGATCTCTGTGATCAAAGTCAGTTGTACATTTCAGAGCAGGGAGAGACCATTAGCTCCAGCAGGCGTCGCTGCTGTGCTGAGGTTAACACTCCAGCACCATGTGTGAACAAAGCAGTATGTCATATCCAGGAACTGAAGCCCAAACTGGAAAACTGGGGCCAACAGGTAGAATCAAACATAACATGAAGATGGATTTTATTATTTTATACCATCACTGACCAAGACTCAACCACAATAATTCAAGCCTTAGATCAAAACCAGTACCACACAGATCCAACCCAGATTGAGCTCAGTTATATGAGTTGAATCACATCTTATTTTCTTTGCTCTCATATTACATAATGAATGAATAATGAATGTCTCGTCTCTTCTAGGGTGATAATGCTCAGCATGAAACTGCACATGAAAACAATCACAGTATCATTTGTGAGCCATAAAGCATTATACATTTTTCACATCACATACATCAATTGAAACCATTTTGTCCAGTAAGACAGCACTTGTGATCAGCAGTCTTATACAGTATGTGGGCTCTAACATATCACCAGAAAATAATTGTAAATTAATTAATAGCTTAATTTATTAATATTATTAAAACCTTGCTGATTAAATAGTGTATTTGGCCTTTGTGTTTTTAGATGTGTTTCTGCTGATGGCAAAAATGCAGAGCTGTATATTGAAGGCATGGGACTTAATGTACAAGGTAATGATAGACAGTCTTGAATCTCCTTAATATTTTGATTATAATATGCATTTAGTTTTCTTTACATAGTGGGGGATTTGAAATATTGAAGTATTATACAGAACTTTGGTGCATAACTTTATTTATATAATTATTACATTAAGATTTTTCATAATCATTACATTAAGATTTTTATATTTTCACTTTTCATTTTAATTTAATTTTGCTGTGCTTTCTATTCGTTTTTTATTTTATATATATATATATTTCTATTTAGCTTTAATTTATTATTTTTTCAGTTTTAGTTTTAGTAATATTAGTACTTCAACTTATTAGTATTATATATTACGGTATATTATATTATATTATTATAATATTAGTTGACCAGGTAACATTTCTAATTTTTGCTTATATATATATACTGTGTATATATATATATATAAATAATAATTTATACATTTAGCAGACACTTTTATCCAAAGCAACTTACAGTGCATTAAGGCTATACATTTTTTACCAGTATGTGTGTTCCCTGGGAATTGAACCCACGACCTTTTGCGCTGCTAACGCAATGCTCTACCACTGAGCCACAGGAACATATATATACATATATATTATACTTTTTATATCTAATTTTAATAGAAATCTTTATTTCAATTGCTTTAGAATTTAACATAATTTATTTAACATAATAATCATTTAATCATTTGTAAATAAAAAGTGCCACAGATGTCCTGATGGAGGTGATGAGTTTGATCGAGCGTCTTGAGTTGGACCGCAGAGAAGGCTCTACTGGAAGAAAAGGAGAAAGCAAAGAAACTTTCAGAGAAATTGCACAGCCTCTGTCTCTGGAAGCAGAATGAGTTTCCTATAGCAGTGCAGAAAGGTCAGACTGGATATTGATTACGGCATGCAATTTATGTTCAAACTGTTTTTTCCAGCTCTAACATTTTACTTCAGGCCCAGTAATGTGGTAATAAAGTGTCTATTCTATTCTGTTCTATTCTATTACAATGTACAGTCAAAAATATTCAACAGGGTCATCAAAAACACACAAAAATGGCTTGAGGAGCACAAATATAAAGTAATTTATATGAAATGAAATAAAGTAAATGTTAAAGGCAATAAAATACAATATAAAAACTTAAAATGATTTTATTTCAGTTAGTTATCAAGGCAAAATTTCAAATTTTTACATATTTGGACTAAAAGCCACAAAACGTATGTTATGGGGTCTTTAAAAAAGTTTAATTACCAAAATAATCTCTTTTCTGCTCCATCCTTAACTTTTCGCATCTGTCTGACTTATATTTGCACGGTCCGAGCGTGAAGCCTGCAGAACAGACATCGCTGAGCTGACGTGGCAACTGAAAATGAGGAGAGATCAGCTGCCGCAGGTGAGAGACAGACTGACCCACACGGAGGTGCTGAACCGACGTCTGAAGGAGGATATCGATTTTATGAGGAAACACGGGCCGCTCATGCACGAGAGACTCCAGCTGGAGAGTGAAATCATGAAGCAGATCTGAACAGCACAAAGTGAGGTGTGTTTACTGCGAAACCGGTTTGTTGGCTTGTTTAGAGGACCTGAAATCAATAAGAGAAAACCAAAGAGAAGAAGGAATGTAGGTCTAACTAAAAGAGTCCAGAACGTGCTAGAGGAGTGCAACAGAGACCACCCACTTTTTCAGAGGACTGGTTTTTCCAGTTTATTTTTTCAAAGAATTCATCAATTAAGAGTGCTAAACTGAAGTGTTTATTTTGTGAATGAACTACCCACTGTTATTATAGTATTATTTATATACTATTATAGAATTTAATAATATTTTAATTAGTTTATTTTTTATATTAAAATTAAAATAATAAAAAATATTTTAAAGTTTGTTTTAGTAATTTTATGTGCTTTTGTGATTTTTATAATTTTTTTTATTAATATTTCTTATTTAGCTTTATTTTTGTTTCAGTTTCAGTTTTTAGTACTTCAACTTATTTCATGTAGTTGCCAAAGCAACTTTCTGATTTTCCTAATTAAAAAATTTTCACCTAATATTTATATTCATTTTAATATTTAATTTTATTCCTGCTTTCAGTTAACTAAAACACTTTTTTAATAATTTTACTTTTGGTTTACAATAACAACACTGACTATTCATCCCATGAAGCATTGTGAATGACATAATTGAGTCAAATTATTGATAAAACTCTAAGTCCCTGATTATTATAATCAAATACAATATATATGAAATGTTTTCCTACACATTTGGATAAATACAAATGTAAAAGTTGTTTAAGGAAACAACCACAGGAAATGTAAAAATGTGAAATTTTAAGCTGAAATAATACTGACTTCTACAGAAGCATTTAAAACTGCTAAACAACCTCTGAGCTCATTGCCTGTTTTGGGATGCCATTTTTACTGTTGAGCCGTGTTGCCATGATAAACATTGTCTGACTATTATGTTTATTCATAAAGACATTGTCACAAATGTTTCTCTAGGCCACTGAGACGTTTTCAAACATCTCTCAGAAGCCAAAGAGTCTTCAGGAGGAGTTTAAAAATGAGGAATTCAGAGCAGACCTTAGGAAAGGAGAAATGAACAAAGAAATGGAAACGATCAGAAATCATCTGAGTGACAAGCAGTGAGTCCTTTTTTGTCATCTGGATACTGACATCAGCCCTACATTTTTATTTCAGTTCACTCGTGTTATATCAATCCAGACAGAAGGTGTCACTAAAATGCTGTTCTCTCCGTCTTCACAGTTTAATTCCTATCCATCAGTGTGTAGGCACATTACAATATCAATATCAAAAATATGGTATTCAAAATCAGCCATTTTATAACAAATTCTACTGATGTAAATCACATTCTAATTCATGTTATCTTCATTTAAAGGCTGCACCTGACATTTTATGCCATACTTTTGACTTACATTTACGTCACACTTTTATTTCACAAAATTCTTTAATTTTTGGAAATGTCTCATATGAAAACATTGCTTAGAATCAGCCTTGTGGACATGTTTAGCAATTTCTATGTTACATTTATAGATTTTAGGATGTCTATTATACTTACATAACCAACCACTGCTTGTAAAAACACATATTGACATTGCAAATAAATTAAAAACAAATAGAACATGCTAATGCAGTTTTCTCTAGGTAAAACGACATAGATACTTATGAAATACTGACACAACTGAGCAATGTTTTAACAGGATCTGATGTCATTCATCTGCTTCCCTCCATCTGTATGAAGCGGTATATAGACATGTAATGTGTACATGGGGAATGACACAGTTTCTCTTTCTCTGTCTACAGGAGTGAGTTACAGCAGCTGCAGTCTCAGTGTGAGGTGTTTCAAAGAAAAATTCAAGAGTCGATAGAAAAACTAACATTGAAAGTTTGAGAGGCAGGAAACAGACGTACATGAAGAAACCAGTATTCATTTAGAAAACATTCAACTGCCAGTTTGCTCACAGGATATTCGATCAAATCCATTAAAATATTATGAAGACATTTGACATTTTTTTTGAATATTCTGACTGTTACAATCATAAGCTCATGTTACTTCCTTTTTTTTTTTTTTTATTAGTCCCTTGAAAGAGCTTCTGTACCAAATATTCATTTCACTTACCTTTTTTTTTTTTTTTAGGTCAGAACATTAAAAGCTGAAAAAGATGATAAAGAAGAGATATTGATGATAGAGAAGAAGGAAGTATTGCAGCTTCAAAACCAAATACAAACATCTGTAAGTATAACAGGCTGTTATTTTAAATGATATAAATCAGAGGTGAAATTATGTGCCGTATTGGAGATGTCAACCCTCACGTCCTCTGGAGGGCAGGAAAGGCCCACGATTCCTTGCACTGATCTGCCTGTTTATTCTCTCAGAGCCTCCATTTTGTCTAAGCCCTGATTTCACAATCACACTACGCTTGAGTGAACGAGCCGCAGAGCGCTCACTTGTTTCTTTAGCCGTTTGTTTATTCCTTTTTAAATTTGTATTTTGTGCATTTTTGATGTTGTTCTGCCACAACAGAGTTGTAAAAGTTTAGAAACTTTCCAAAAGAACGAAACTTGGTTTGACCGTAGGTGGTGCTATATGATGTTTTAGATTTCATGAATGTTTGACACATGACTGCTATAGTTTAAATATGAAATTAATTGAAAATAGGCTTATGCTTATGTGCTAGAACAAACAGTGGACCTTTCAAGCAGTTGGATAATATATATATATATATATATATATGCAAAGATGCTTAAAAATATGATCTTTTGTGTGTGGTTAGACTTTCATTTTGTGCACAACATGTGAATATGGTTGAATTTAGCCTCCAAACAAAGACTTGACAATAGAAAAGTCCGTATTAGCATATATAGATGTAAATAGATGTAAATAATGGGTATTACTGTGTTTATCAGAAACTTGAAGGTGATGAAAAGGTGTCTGTATGGGATGCAAACTTAAGCCAAAAGCGACATGAGTTATCGACCCTGTGAGACAAAAACAAAGAGCACAAACTGGAAATTGAAGACTACAAGAGAAAGATCTACCAAAGGTTTGTCCAATAAGCTTCAGATCACACAACATTTTAGATTGAATTTAAAGTATATTCCTGGATATTACTGATTGCCACTAATGATTAGTTTTGTCTGCTGTGTTTTGCAGTAATTTGTTATGTTGTGACAGTAAATGGCCTAGTCTGCAGTTATTTCACAGTAAAATTCTGAATATAGTATTTTATTGTAAAATCCTGGTGATACTTTTTTTTAAAAAAGGTGGTGAATTGTGGTTAACTACAATCAACAACGTTATACTCACTATACATTCTATACAGTCCAAATTTCAAGCACAATAGCCTAATTTAATCAGACAACAAGAAGTACGGCAAATAGATTTTTCATAGAACTGCAGAAAATGAAATCGATCCAAATGAAAAACAATCCACTGTTGGTATGGTACAGCAATAACAAATGACGTTGCCTCCGTAAGATCTATGAAGACCATATGTTTCATACACAAGCCAATAGGGCTGTTCATGTGTTGCCGGTTTGTTGAATCTGTAACACATCATGAGAAACTATGACATGGAATAAAATCTGGATATACAGTAGTGATTCTTCCCAACTTGATACAGAACTTATGGATCAGCATTAGATTCCATGTTGGAGACTCAAATGACAACACTATGAGAAATGTGCTGGAGATGTCTTGTGGTTCATTGGTCTGTTGTGTGAGTGTTGGATTCTTTAATTATCAACACGGAATCTGTGTTCCGCAGATCATGTCATGAAATCATGCAAAAACTCTAATTCCACTTCATTAAAAATGTGTAGGTGTGTGTGGCATTGCTTCTGAAATTAAAATGCTGTGAAGAAGCACCGCAGCATGAACTAACACAATGATTTAGCACGCAAAAAATACATTATCCACCTTATTTTGCAACGCGGATGTGAGCTAATTTCTGTGAATGCGCGAGACTTCCGAGACTTAGTTGCTATAAGTAAGTAAGAACTTTATTGTCATTGTACATGTACAATGAAACTCTGAACTCTATAGGGAAGTAACTTAAAAAAAATAACAAACTCGTGCAATGTCAAGCAGCATAATAGACTGTTTTTGTACAGCTAAAATAACTGGAAGTGGATGACACGTTACGTTAAAAAGGTGTATAATCAAATGTTGAAATTTATGTATATTACCATGAACAGTATAGACCCAATGATATGCAAATTTTAAAGTGCTGTTTTTTATTTAATTTTAAAAAGAAGGCATAAAAATTAAAATATAAAATACCTTACTTAGTTTCACTGATATTGCTGTAAACAAACTGCAGTTTGTTAAATGTTGTGTAAATGCTTGAGTTTTTACAAGAATCAGGCTGCTTGTTGTTAATGTAATGCATAATGAACTAAACTTTAAGCGTTGTGTCATAACTATTCCAGTAATTAATCTTTGATTTGGCACATCTTGTGCAATCAGTTGGATGTCACATACTGTATCCAGAGCGTTTTCATTTCCAGTTGTGAAATTTACTGAATGCTGTGCAAGCATTTTTGTGAGTGGGCTGCTGTATCGTGGAGTGG